GGGGGGGGGGGGGGGGGGGGGAGGGCGATGAGAAAATGAGGTGGCTGAGTCGAGGGTCTCTGGGAGAGCAGCGCCAGCAGGAAACTCGGCCGCATCTCTCCGTGCCTCTCCCGGGAGAGCAAAGGCTGAGCAGCAGACAAACAAAAATAAACCTAAACCTTCTACCCTCCTTTTGCACAATTCCAAACCGGGTGCCAAACCAGGAAAACATTAAACCACTCCCCACGCACCAGGTGCCCTGGAGCCAAGCCTTGGAGATTGCTTCCTACTGAAGCTGACCCCACTTCACAAACAGTGATGGCATAGTTTGGGGGGACACAGCCCAGCCGGGTCTGGATTTAATCTTTAATTTTGAGATCCTGGGAGACGAGGAACAGAAGTTCTAGAGAATGGCATTTGTAGCAGTGTCTTCAACAAATTTTAAATCTGCTGAGCCAATGTGTTGAGAAACTTCACCATTTACCAAGTCGGGAACTGCATCCCTCCCCTACTTGCCCCAAGATCTTCTAACAATTTCCTTGGTGCAAAAAGGACCCCACCCCACTTTCCCCCTGCTTCCCTCCCTAGCAAGCTCAGATGCATTAAGTTCAAAATAACCTTGATCTCTCCACCGTGCTCTGTCTACACTGTCTTACATTTGTTTTGGTTTTGGTTTGCTCCCTATTTGTGCGTTACACTCAAGGGAAAAGGACAGAAAACTTCCAAATCTGTGGATCCAATTCTATTACAAACGAAAGAAAAATATTATTGCAAATAAACTCTATTTCGGAAGCCCAAAGAGTCATAAACCTTTCCTGGCCCTGCAGACTTCGGGGGCAGATGTTGACGGCTCAATCTGCCGAGCCTCAAAACCTCCGCAGCTGTCCAGAGCGGGGAGGGCGCCGAGGGGGCAGAGCTTCTCCCAGAAAGGTCCAGGGTTCAAAGATGCCAGAAATGTGAAACGACCCCCCCCACGCAAGGCCAGGCCTGCGTGGGACTCTTTCCCCTGGCGCCAGCTTCAGAGGGTCAGCGCCCTCATCCCAGCAGGCTCCGAGAACTCAGAGGAAGTAGCATGAGAAAGCCAGAGACCTGGGCTTGCAGGAAGATCGGCCGGCACAGGGACCCACAGCCTTTGCTCAGTACAGGTTTTAGAGCCCCAGTTCCCCACGCCAGCCGCTCTCAGGACATTCTACACCACTGAGCCACAAGTCCAACTCTGTGCCCGGCCACCAAAGAGCCTTTTCCTTTGGGACCCTGGCCAGCCTGCCTTTCTCTACCATCCCAGTCCCTGCCCTTGCTGCGCTAACCCAAGTCTGTATGGTATCAGAGCTGCCTTGCTTTCTCTGTTGCTGCATTTTCTCACCACCAAGAGGAGAAAGGTCTAAACCAAAAGGCCACCTCCAAAACACAATTTCTCAGCGGCGAAGTCCTGCACATGGGACAGCAAGAAATGAATGCACCGTCTCCTATCACTCCAGAGGAGAGTGCACCACCGGCTGAGCCCTGGGGGTGGGGGGGCCAATTTCCCTTTGCCCTGCAGATGCTTGGGGTCTGGGAAGGTGAGGGCCAGAGCACCTCCGGTAGGCTCAGCAAACAGAAATCACTCCAGCTCTGGGCTATAGAGGCCGCACACTTTCCCCCAACCCACCGGGACGCTTAGTGCGCCTCACACTCACCAGCATTGTAGGCTGCCAGATCCGCCCCTGGGCCCGGGCTCTTGCGCTTCCTCGGCCGCCCCTTCTGCACAGTGCCCACGCCATTATAGTAGGGAAGCCCCAGCGGGTTGGCCCCCGCTGCACCCAGCCCCGCACTCTTGGCAGCGGCGGCCGCGGCTGCGGCCGCTGCCACGTCGGCATGGTTGAAGTGCGCCGGGTACTCGCCCTGCAGCAGCGCCTCGAAGTGCAAGCGGCAGTAGACCAGGCTGTCCTTCATGCCGAAGTGATCACCGGTGGTCAGCATCTTGTTGCATGTGGTGCACGTGAAGCAGTTGAGGTGATAAACCAAGTCCCGAGCGCGCATCACCATCTCCGAGGCTGAGATGCCCAGGTGGCAGCGGGCACATCGTTGAACAGAGAACCGCCTGTGGGGACCACGGAGGGAGGGGCTGTGGGGACAAACGGTTGGGGCCCCCCCACATCTTTCCTCCAGGTGCCTGCTGGTGCTGGGGAAAATCCTCTCCTCAAGATGGGCCACCTGCCTTTCATTTGAAAGATAAGAGGAGAGGGAACTAGGTTTTGACCCGGGCCTGGTCCTACTCTGAAATAGTCTCCCTTTAACCGTTTTTTACACCCACAAAAGCTACTATTTAACCTAGAGGCTAAGCAAGTCCCATGGAAATCCTCCACTTGGAGGAAACTCCACCACTTACCCCTTCCTCAACCTTTGCCCCTGCCCTCCAACTGCATCTGGGAATCCTATAGACCTTTGTGATTTGGAAAAAAAACAAAAAACAAAACAAAACAAAAAACACACAGGGGCTGGAAAAGAGAAAAAGCTAGACAGAGTGAATATAAACAGATCCTAACCCTAAACTTGAAGAGGAGAAACAGGGACCCTGAAGCCTCTTAGTGATTTTGGTTCTTTAATTCAGGCCAGCTTCCACTCTCGTCTCTCCTAAAGACCCAGAAATGCATCAGTTCTCCACCCAACTTTGTTCCACACCACCCAAGCTGCCTTGATTTGGGGGTGCCTGCCTCTATCCCCTCTGGTTAAACCCAGAAACTTCAAAGAAGGGAATGCCAGGACCCCACCACCACCACCCAAACTTATTTGTGATCTGAGCTCAAGGGAGGGGGCAGACACTGCTTTTCTTCGATCCCTACACTTCAGGAACCCTACCAAGAGCTGCCTTAACTTTACCAAATTGCTGCTTTAAAAGGATGTCACCCAGTCACCCAGTGCGTGAAGGCTTGGAGAACAGGTGTCCTAACCAGGATAGCCTCTACTGGGTCTGGAGGAAATGGAGAGGGGCAAACTTGTGCTCGAGGTAGATGAGGTCTTGAAGGCTGGGGGGAGGGAGCTGCTACCTGTAGTAGTCTTCCTTGCAGTAGATGCTGCCGTCCTTGCTGAAACAGGTGAGCTCCGACTCCAAGTTGAGCTTGCACTCGCAGCACTTCAGGCAGCGCATGTGCCACTGCTTGTCCACAGCCAGCAGGTAGTAGCGGTCAGAAATCTTCCCCCCACAGCCGGCGCACAGCGCTGCACGGTCACTGCTGATGGACGGCATGGTCTGCGAAAGGAGGAAGGCAGGAGACAGCAGTGCATGCGATGCGTCAGCCTGTGGCTGTAGGGCCACGAAGAAACTGGCACCCAGAGCTGCCTCTGAGGCTCCAGTTAGCCCTGAAAGCTTAGGGAGCTTCCTGGGTGGCAGCGGTTCCTCCACACTAAAAGGCCCAAATCGGGGCAGGTAAGGGCAAGGCCGCTGGCCCAGCTCAAGGAAGCCATGGGTCTAAGCCCCAGGCTCCAGGTCTAGGTGGTTCTTCGGCCTTGCCTCTCCTTCTGGATCCCCTCTTCCTCAGAAATGTTCCCTGTGTTTAGGGTCTGGGGCAGCTGTGGCTATTGTAATTAAGCCCTCCAAGGGCTTTCCCAAAAATGCTTCTTAAAAGAGCCATCCAGCTGGACTCCAGAAAAGGACTAAAGTGACCGGACCGGTAAAAGTCACCCTCCACAAGGACTCCTCTTCCGAGGGGTTGCAGAGTTTCTGGTTTCCAGCCCGGTGATCTCTGACCAAGGGTTTAGGCCAGGGCAGGACAGGGGAGGGGAGGCAATTTCTGGCTCCTTTGCCACACCGACTGAAGGCTTCTTGAGTCTTGGGAGATGGTGAGTAGGGTGCAAGGGCACCCTCAAAGTCTCTGGGTGCAGGTTAGGCCCAGCCCAAATCTTTCCCTAATCAAACGGAGGAGCTGAGAACGTTTAACGGGGAAACAAGGGCTCCGAGGCCGGAGGCCACTGGGCTGCTGCTCTTGAGAAGCTTCAGCTGTGCTCTCCACCACTTCAGTCTCTGAAGGTCACTTCTGGGCCCCTGGGAGGTCTGAAGCCAGGAGCTAGCTATTTGGGACCGGCCGGTGGAGCCAGGTGTAGAGATCCGAATGGAGTCTCCTTCTGCTAGAACCAGGCCAGGGCCTGAACTGAGAGCCCTGGCCTGGCCAGGGACTTGGGGACGCGACTAACGAAAACTGCTGGCCTGGAAGACTTCGGCCCCTAAAACTGTGCTGGAGAGGGAGCCAAGACTGCCGGGAGAAGGGGAGCGACAAACACCGAGTGGAGCCCCGGGGCTCCCGGCCCCAGGCCGGTTCCTCTTTCGGAGGCGCGGCGGTGGCGGCAGGGGAGCGGAAGCCGAGCGTTAAGGAGAATCGAGACTATTGACCAGGGCCCCGGGCGAGGTGAGGAGGGAGCCGCCCGGGGAGCGGGTTGGACCGCATTTCCACTTCGGGGAAAACGCTCTCCTCCACCCTCGGGGACCGTGATTTCGGTTTCAACCCAGTTTCCCTCCTCCTCCCAAGCAGTTGGGTTCCCCGAGCTTGGAGCTATGGGCCTGCTTCCTGCCGAAGGATCCCCAGCGCTCAGTCCCGGTCTGCCCGAAGGACTCTCCCCAAACTTCGGGGAGCAGAGACACTGACCGGCCCGACCCGGCCCGGCCCCAGGTCTCA